CCCCAAAACCCCAAAACCCCAAAACCCCAAAACCCCTTGAAGTGTATTAATTGAAAATATTAGAATTATAATAAATAATAATTAAGAAAATGTCTCAATAAGAGTAAAAGGTCGCTAAGTATCCAAGTAATTGCCAATTAATTTAATACATTTAATTATTTATTCATTTTTTAGACTCATTCTTGTTTGGAGCAACTTTTTTCGCTACACTCTAGGGTGTTATTAGAATCTCAACTCATGAGACTCTCTCAGCAAGTAAGTTTAGAATTTTAATAATAATGTTTAATAGGACCCTTCTCATACTTGACCTGCGCATTTTTCGGAGGCTTAGGTATCTGGTATTATGACTACTTTAGAAGAAGAGCACTTGAGGAAGTTCTTTATTCAGAAGAGAGAAGAAGATATAGCTGTAAGTATAATGAAATAATCATGACTTAAATGAAATCCAAATACTTTAACAAATTTCAAAATGTCTCAACTCTTTTATAGATCAACTCAAGGGTATGGAGAAAATTAGAATTGGTTAAGAACACGAAATTGTTAATATGGTTGATTATCTTAACAACTCAACTGTTAGAGAATGATAAACCAATGAGGATTTACTGGAAAGTTAAATATCCTTTGATAATCATTATTTAAATCATTATTGCACTCATTATTTTCCATTCTTTTAACATTAAACTAAATTATAAATTATTAATTATTAAATGGATTCATCCGCTGCATCTTTGCTTTTGCTTTTTTCTGTGAATTTCTTGCTCCTCATAATAGTTATATCTACTTTTGGAATTCTCAGAAGAATAAGAGGGGATAGAGACAAAATTAAAGTAGTTGATAAATACAATGTTAATCCCGCGCAGAGATCAGAATTCAAGGAGTACATTAGTCAAGGATTTAAAAGTAAGCAATGACTATTTAGTGAAGTTCACTTTTCTGATATCTAAAATAAACTGAGAATTCTAATATTAACCTCATCTAATATAGAAAATAACAGGCCAACTAATAATAAAGATCTCCTAACAAAAGGAAACAATGAGTGGTTCTGGAAACTTTATGAAGCAGATGATTTTGAGGTTTAAAAAACATGTGGGACAGACGCGGCTTTATATCTTTGCTTCCTCAGATAATGCTCAATCCTATTTTTTATCAGTATAGACTAAAACATATTTTAATGCATTTTTAGTTGCCATTTGTAGTAATTCAATTTTACTACCATTGTTTTTGACATCTAAGGATTAAAATCACGAGGTAATTGCAGCATCGTAATCATCCTCATTGGAAAGACTTACATTAATAAATGCTTAAGAAAGATATTCTATGGTTTGGGTGGTTTTTTTCTTCACTATACTTTACAGCCTTCTAGGGCATATTTTGCTTTATTATTTCGATGAAAAAAGAAAAGCCCTTTAAGTTCAAATTCATGATGATAAGACTGTATTAACAGAATTAGAAATATCAAATCATTCAGTCTTACTAAGAGGAATCAATAAAAACATTCCTATCAGATATGCATAGATGTTTATAGATCATATTTTCAATGGTGTTAGCTGTATAGAAGGAAAATTAGTTAGAACTTATGTAGTAGGAGATTATATGAAAATGCTATAGTACTTAAAAAAACTGGATAGAATGTGGAGAAAAAAGGAATACTATATGAAAATTTATAGAGAAAAACATTTGGACACTAAAAAATAAAAAGGTATTTTATGCTTTAAAACCTATGGTTCTTCTTTAAAAGATTATTATGCATAGAAACCATCTTTAGTTAAAGAATAAATGAATTTGGAAATGAAGATTAAATAAAAAAGGAACTTTGGTGTTGCCTTCATAATGATTGACAATACATTAGATGTCAATGATCTATTGTCTGATTTTAATGAATTAAAAAAAGATATTAAAGAATGGGATTCGTAAATGTATGATAGATATTAAGTCTATGTAATATTTCCACTAAATTAATTTAACTATAGAACTGGACTTTAGAACATGCTCCTTGTCCTTCTGATATAATCTGGGAAGATTTTAACAAGCGTAGTCCTTTCAAATACTTTAAAATTGTTCTCATCAATGTATTATTGTTTTTAATCACTGTACTTTTGATAACCCCTATTTCTGTAAAAATTTCCTATTGGTTAAATACTTTTCATAGATCATTCAAAGCATTAATCCTTTCATTAAGGAATATTACTCAAGTGACGCAGATTAATCATCATTTATAAGTGCTTTGATATTGAATTCGATCACCCCTTTTATTCTGATGATGTTTAACTATATCTTTATACCGACTTTAGTAGGCTGGACTTCTTACTTTGAAGAAATAGAAAACATTTCCACAAGACATAGGAATAATCTGTTTAAGCAATTCTTGTTCATGATGATAAATACAGTATTTATTCCTATTACTTAGACCACTACTATCCTTAGTTTTCTTTATTATTTAAGGGATAGAGACATTGATGATCTATAGATTGAACTTTCTGAAAAATTTCTAAAGACATCTGAGTTCTTCTTGAAATACATTATTCAGTGCACATTTATGACAAATATAGTTCAAATACTAGATATTCCACATTTTATTTATATGAAACTAAAGAGATTATTTATGAAATCTAGAAACTACGAGTAAGATGAAATAGAGGATGATTGGTATTTTGATCTAGGCTATCACTTTGCATTCAGTATCACAATCTTCTCAGTTGTCTATATATTCTCTGCTGCTGTTCCTCTGATTCCACTATTTGGCTTCTTATTTTTTGCCTTTAAGTATTATATTGACAAGTACAATTTCCTCTTCGTTTACAATATGGAGGCAGATTCAAGAGGAAATTTAGGTTAAGCGGTTATCAGATATATAACTTTCGGTCTTTTGCTTTATTAACTTATTATGTTCGGTCTCTTTACTTCTATTTTTGGCAGAGATTTCACTGTAGCTTCAATAATCTTACTTGTTGGAGAAATTCTTTATATGATAGTTTTTAGAATATTTAGTTTGTCAGAGTTAAGAGAGGCCTTTAAATAGGTGCTATATGAATAGGAAGATGAAGAAGAAGATGAAGAGGATAACTTAAAATAAAGAGAAAAATTCTCAAAATTGCTTAGTTCCAAAACTCTTGCTAGAAAGGATAAAAAATTTAAGGTTAGGTTATCAGATAAGAATATTGCTATAATTAAAGATGCCTATCTTCATCCTTATGAAAAATACTAGAAATAAGAAAATGCCAAGAGATTATTAAATGGGCTTAAAAAGGTCATCAAAATCAGAAATACGAAAAATACCCTTGATTAAGCTGACTAATTTGCGACAAATTTTTCTAGAAATAGAAGTAGGACATTCAATACTTCTAAATCTTTCAACTCCAATAGAAGCAGTTATCCAATCTAGAGAAAATATTCGATGATAAAAAGTGGTAGTGGTAATTTTAATTAAGAAAATGAAATTCCTATAAGACTCAAAAAGGATAATAGTATGCTCACAAAAATTATTGAAGAAGACTTATGAAGAAACTATAACTATCCAACTATTTATCAATCTACAATACTTATCTACTCACAATTCAGATAAAGTTACTAAGTAGTTAGGATAAATTAGCAAAATTTAGTAATTTGTGTTACTTGTTTAATTTAAATAAAAAAATATCCACAAAAACATCATCATTATCTAGATATCAAGGGGTTTTGGGGTTTTGGGGTTTTGGGG